GCGGTCGCCCGTTTTGTGAGCGGTCGCCCGTTTTGTGAGCGGTCGCCCGTTTTTGGAGATCAAGGAGGCTAGGAGAAGAGGAGGACCACCATTGAAGACCATCTTGAGCATTTCTTCTCCTTTTCCGTGTTTCTTCATTTTGCTTTCTGTTTTAAAACCCTAGTTATGGAGTAGTGATTTTGTTGTGGGTGAGGGATCCCCACTTTTGTATGAACACCTATGTTTAATCTATGATGTCTTTGAGTTTCTTCCATGGGTTTGATGTTTTGTGCTTAATGCTATTGATTTGGTTGATATCCTAATTGATATGATTGTAGAACACATTGATCATAGGGATATGGGAATGATGTTTGGAACCAAATGTCAAATGAGTGAGTTATTCACATTGGGAGATGGCTTAACTTGCTTAGGGTTCATGATAGGGTACACTAATGCATCTAGAGATCATTTAGATCATTGGGAGATGGGTGAATCGATCCTCTAGGTAGTGAGTTTAAGCTTGGGAGAGACAAACTCTAGAAGAAGTGCTTGAAACCCCCATATGGAGGATAACCCATAGACATTGTAGCATCATTAACCATCCATGCGATTCTTGAGGGATCCCGAACCTACAACGCCTCAAACCATCGTTTTACAAACCGTTAATTTTACTTGCTTTCTTGTATTCCGACCCTTACCATAAACCACATTTTTACTTGACCACCTAATCTAGCTTAGAGATAGACTAATACATCATAGTCCTCGTGTTCGACCCCGGTACTACAACTACCGTATACTTGCGGATAGTGGTACGAATTGGGTATTAAATATAAGACTCGGTGCGTGCGCACCAGAAACAAGGAAAGATTTTGGGTAAAGGAACACTGGATCATGCTGGGCTACCCAAACTGACTGACGTCAAGGTAGTTCAAGGACTGAAAGCCAACCTCATCAGTATTAGTCAGCTATGTGACAATGGGATGAGAGTGAAATTTACGAAGAATGCTTGCTTCGTGTCTGATGTGAAAAACAAGTGTGTCCTAACAGGGAAGAGGAATTCCAACAACTGCTACACTTGGATCAACTCAAAGACAGAATCTACGCAACAGACGGTCAAGCGGATCAGTAAGTATGTGAATGAAACTCTAGAGTTTGGATTGCACTACACAAAGGACTCTAGCTGCGAGTTGGTGGGATTCTGTAATGCGGACTTGGGAGATCATGCTGACTTGAACCAGAAAGCGCTATCTATCATTTTCAGCAGTGTTTGTCATGAAGAGTTTGAACAAATTTAAGGATGTGAAACTGCCAAGGATGCATGGGATACTTTGGAGCTTATACATGAAGGAACATCCAAAGTGAAAAGAAACAGATTGGATATGATAGATCTCCAATTTGAGCGTCTGAGAATGGAAGATGATGAGAGTGGGTGTCCGGAGGTGTCCCCAGGGCTGCAGGGCATGGAGTTACCTCAGCAGAATTCGGTAATTTCTTATCAGTATAATTCTGGTGTCTTTGCTTAGTGTACTGAAGGTTATTGTGGTTTTCCTACGATCAGTGACCTGCTCTGATACCAATTGAAAAAGCACTCTCACACGATATTGCAAATCAAAAAATTCCCAAACTGATTCTATTTCTTTGATACGTGTCAAGTACACTTCAATCCTTTCCAAGTAGCACTCAACCCACCCAGTTTCACTCCCCCTGAGTAAAACCCCAGTATCACAAGAAATTCTATCAGCCACAAACACTTTGTGTGCAGCGCACACCACGTGTTACCCTAGACCTCGTCTAGGCCAGTGAGCGGTTCGCCTGTTGCTTAAGGCTCCCCCTCAGATCTACCTCACGTTCTCTCAGATATCTCTCACCAGTGTTTCCCGTACATGTGACTCTCACCCAGGTCACAGACTCTGCTTCTCAATAGCAATAATCTCGACAACCTTTCTGTAATGGGGTCTTCGGTATATATAAACTTCTCCAAGTGATTCTCTCAATATCATCCGAATATATGCCTTGCCTTTTCTTGATTGATGTGAATATCTTCTTTCCTTTTGTTGCTTCTTTCCTTTTGTGCTTTCCATATTCAGCTCCATACTTCCATTTGTTGATTTGAATCTTCTAAATGTTGAATATGCTATTTCCTTGCTTTAACAATATATATTTTATTCAAGAAAAAGAGAATCATGCTAATATATAAACATAACCATAATAATACTCATAAAATCATTAACACAATCCAAACACATTACAACAAAAAAAAAAACCCACCTCACGAACTAAAAAAAAAAACATAGATGCAGTAGTTAACTAAATAACATAAGCTAGAGCCTTTCAACGAGGGCAAACGGGCTCGAACGAAAACGGACCGACGTCGAAAAGACCGTATTTGACGTCGTTAACGAGAATGATCCGCTTAGCCCTATCCTTAACCGGCGTAAGAGCACCTCCGTTATCTCCGCCGTTAAGTTTGGACGGTTTGCTGCACTTAGGGTTCGGGGATTTGACCAGCTTGACGACGCATCCTCTGAATCCGTAGTTCGTCACCGTCTTTGGCGCCAGCAAGAAGAAGTAACCCTTCTCGTCAGTCGTCGCCTCTTTCACCGTCTTCTTCCATCCCTTGCACAGCAATCTTACCACCGCGCCTGTAAAATAAAAATTTACTTTATTTTTTTTACTGTATAATTGTTACGTAAAACTGTAAAAGCAAAGATTTTTATCTAAATACGTCGGATTTCTTCCTTGGGTTTGTGAAAATGGATGGATTCAGAACTGTGAAAACAGCTGAATTATTGGTGCAGGGGTGGGACTACCGAGGCATTATGGTAAATTTTTTATTTATTTTTTTCACTGTTATGGTAACATTGACCACCTTCTGTACCAATGGTCCCACTAGTAATTTTTGAATTCAAAACATTATATTTTGAAGCTTACAAGAAAAATTTGAGACACAAGAGCAGTTAATATGACTATATTGGGTTTGTATTAACGATTTAATCTCCATTTGGTACTATATTAGATATTTCACATTGTGAATTAAACCTAAGATATATGAGTATAAGAGAAAGGGCATTAATATGCAAAGGAATATATTTTCACGTGAATAATGGAAGAAGGAATGGAAATCAATAGAAGTTAAACAACGAAAGGAAATAAAGTTTTTACCTTTGACGGGTTTAGCGCCCAAGAGAGTGTCGACGCCCGCATATTTGCAGTCCTTGCAGTAAACCATTCCTTGAACCGCCACGAAACTCCGGTTAAACTTCGGAGGGTAAACCGGTGGCAGAACCGGAGGGTGTGCAGGGGGCGGAACCGGAGGCTTAACCGGGGGTTTCGCAGGTGGGTAAGTGGGGGGTTTCACCGGAGGCTTGACCGGGGGCTTCACCGGGGGTTTCGCAGGAGGGTAAGTGGGGGGCTTCGTACCTACA